TGTAAAATATTTTTTTAAGAGTACAAAGAAAATCATAATTTCTTAGAAAAAAAATCACAATTTATTTGCTTGAATGTCAAATTCTCTATGTATATATAATTAATGCATTAATTATTATTTTTGTAATATGACTCAGTTTTAAATACACTCTCTATATTTTAAATTTAAACATTTACACTTATGTACTATAAGAAATATACAATTACACCTCCAACTAAGTTTATCTATAACTAATTACATAAAATATAATTATTAAATAATAAACTAAAAATATATTAAAAACTGTTTTTGTGACGTTATTCTTACAAATTAATTAGGGTCGATACTTATAAGTAATAAAAAAATTATAATTTCTTTAATGTTTTGATGTTTATAAAATATAAAGTGTTTTGAGTTTTGCTTGACTTTTGTTGAAATATTTTTAAATTATACTTATAAAATGATTTAAATATGTATTTTAAATTTATTTGAACGCAACTTCATAAACTTATTTAATTAGAACTCATATTAATAATAATAAATAAGTAATAGTACACATATTTATCAAGTCAACATAACATTAGGGTGCAAAACTATCACATATTCAATGTGATGTTGTTAAACAGGATCGACACTGATGAAATAAATGATTTTTATAATATTGTGATATTTGTTGTCTCTAAAGTGTTTCGAGTTTTGATTGTCATTATTAATATAGTTATGTTAAAATATTCAAATAAATAGCCTAAATTTATTTAAACATAATAATTTATAAAATTATATACTTTTCATATTAATAACAAATATGAGTAATGAATGATCTATAAATTATCAAATTGACGTAATGTAGTGCGGATACAAGACTATAATTAACATTAACACGTTACTCTCATGTATTCTCAATAATATGCAATATTAGTAAAATAAATATGGATTCTGAATTTTACAATTGAATGATAATGATTAATACGATTCTTCACTAATTAATTTAATGTTTATACATCGTGTGTATTTTTCTTTTAGAAAAATAATAATATAATTTTAGGACTTAGATATTTTAAATAACTATTAATAATAATGCAATTTCGTAGTGATGTCTTGAATTAAAAAAGTTATTTCTTATTATATAATTCTCTTAATATCAAGGTTGACTACTCTCATTTACATTTCATTACTATATCATATTGTTTGTTTGATCTTCATAATAATAATATTGTGCAAATTATGTTGAATTATTATTAGGAGAAAAAGATTTGATACACTCCTTAATTTTGTGATATAGAGATAATATATATTCAGTAAAGAAAAGGTTACATATACATTTATTGTTACATGAGCAAATTAAATAACTCATATATCCTCTTTTGACTGACAAAAGTTAAATTGTAGATTTTTAATTTATTTATTTTAGTTATTTAACCAAACAATATTTACATAGAGGAAAATCAGATAGTATTTTCACGTGATTTTATTTTTGAGTTTTTTAATTTAACGGTTAATTTGGGTCTTAATTATCTCCCTTATGAATATGTTTTTAATCATTATTTGAATATGTTGTTCATGTTTAATTTTTCGCTTTCATTTTTTAGTGTAGAAAACATGAGAATTAAAAAGAAATAAAAAAATAGTGAACCAAATAAAAAAAAATAAAAAAAAGCAAACTAAAATTAATCGTTTTTTTGCGGTTATATTGAATTTTATTCTGTAGTTGTAAAAATGTTGATGCACCTATAATAGACTTTGCAAGAAGATCAGAGAAAAAATAAATTTGATCATCTACATAGTATATCAAAATTAGTCATGGAATTATAGAAGATAAAAAATAAAAATAAAAATACAAAAATTCATGTGTGAAGAAGATCAAATATAACTCGAAATATTTTGAGAAGGGCAAATATACCTTTTATATGTTTATTTTGTTAAAATAATTAATAAATTTTTCACTTTTATCAGCGAAAAATGATCTTGGCTCTTCAAACATATCTCAAAATACTACGAAAAGGGTCAAACATACCTTGTATAATTTTTACTTTATTAAAAAAAAATGAATCAATTTTTTGACTTCCTTCATCTAAAAAAGATTTAGCTATATCAAAGTTATATATGTAACAATTGAAATAGACGTGAGCCACTTTCGTTTAACAAAAGATATATTATCTCTAAATCACAAAGTTGAAAAATATAATTTATTATTATTAGTAGTAGTATTATATAAATGACCAATATATATGACACTTTTGATTAATAATTTTACTTAATAAGTTACTTTATGAATTTTTAATTTGAATTGCATGTGAGATAAATTTATTTTAAATTTAATATTATTAGTGTTTATTTTGTCATTTAAAATTTAAAATTTTATTTATTAGTAATTTTTAATTTGTGTTCTTTAAAATTTATATTGAAAAGTAGAGGGAAGAAAAGAAATTATTAAGGCTATCATTTTATAGTATTTTTAAAAGAAATTGAAAATTAACATATAATTATGAAATTATGAGAATGTGGGAACAATTCTAATCGCCATGCATATCTTTTTATGTGTTAAAAAAATTAATAAATTAAAATTTAAATAAGTGCAAAAACGTTAAAAAGTAAATCTGTTTATAGCGTGAATGCTCTATTCTGATTATTATGGCCAAAATTTTCTCGCCAAAAGAATTTTTACTTCAATTAATTTGAAATGAGTCGAACACAAATATTAAAAGTTGTTACAATAATTATCTGACTTCAAAATAATTATTACAGCTATAATAATTACTATCTCTGTCCTTATTTAGTTGTCCACTTTAGCATTGTCACATATATTAAGATAGCAATAATTAACATAGTGAAGTTATAATTTTAACCTTATTAATTATGCTTTCAAAAATGATGAATTAAAACTTTGAAATTTTCAAAAAGTTTAAATGAGGGTATAATAGATTTTTTTTGTCCTTTCTTAATTTGTCAAAATGAATAAATAAACAGGAATAATTAAAAGAGAAAATATGGACAAGTAAATAGGGACAAAGGGGGGAGTAATAGTTATTGCAATAGCCACAAAATTTGAGGAGTTATTACAACCACTTTAAAAGTTATTGCAACAAATTCAATAATTATTACTCTCTCTGTTCACCTTATTTGTTATTTATTATTAAAATTAATTTTCATTTATACTTGTTATTCTTGACATACAAAGAAAAAATTTAATTTTTTTCATAGTTTACCTACACAAAAAATATTTGTTTTCAAAATTATTTTTCAATGTGTAATACTTCTTCCATCCCTTTTTACTTGTTCATTTTTTCTTTTATAGTTGTCTCTAATTACTTGTCTATTTTGACAAATCAAGAAATGATAATTTTTTTACCTATTATACTCTCAATTAAATGACTAATTACTTTTAAAAATGTAAAACTTTTCATCCACTTCATAATTAACAGGGATAAAATGGTAAACTCACTACGTTATTAATTATTTTCTTAATAGGTGTACCAATTCAAAAGTGAACAAGTAAAAAGGGACGAAGGGAGCACTAAACAACATTTACTAAAGATAGTATGGTAAATACATATCAATAATTATATTTTTAATGTATGTATTAAGTCAAACTGTGACAAGTAAAAATGAATAGATGGAGTACAACATAGAGTACTTTCTTAGTTTCATGATTTTTTAAAATTGAACAGATGTTGTTGAACAACTGTTTTAGTATCGTGGACAGGGACAAACCTACACAGTGTCAAATGAATTTATATGAACTCACTTTATTGAAAAATAACACTTTATTACACTTAACCACTAGGCTAGAATTGCACCTACAGAAGTGCAATGCTAGCTTAGTGGTAAAGGGGTTCAAATTTTTCCAAGAGACATGTGTGTAAATTTAGCTATCAACATTTAAGCATCAATTCATTTTAGAATACTAAAAATCTATATTTATTTTTTATATCGTGAACTCACTTGATGAGCCTAAAAAGTCAATTAAAAGTAGAGTTGTCAATATATGTTAGCTCACTCCATTCAGGCTAATTCATACAAGTTTTGACATTTTACATATCAAGTCGGGTTAGCCTATTTTTGTGGTGGCAAGAAAATGGTCGGTCCAACTCACAAGTACGTGGACTACAAACTTGTTGGGTCAGTCCACTTTTTAATTTTTTTTAATAATTATTAAATTATAAGTATAATTTAAAAATATTAACATAAATATCGACAAAAACAATATTACATGATGTTAATGTTACTACTTGTTAATCAAATTCACAGATAAAATTATCTTTATAATATTTAGGAGGAATGACCTGAGGAACCCTTGTACTTGACTTTATTTGTTACCTAGACCCTTTTACTCACTATTTTGTCAACTGAACACTAAAAGTTATTAAAACACAATATTTTAAAATGATTTTTTTTTTTGCATAATCTTTCAAACCATTGGATCCTACTTTATAAATATGTCAAAATTTATGTATTGTTGCAAGTCAATTACTTAATTATACAAAAAAAACATATAAACTAACAATACAC